CTCTCTCTCTCTCTCTCTCTCTCTCTCTCTCTCTCTCTCTCTCTCTCTCTCTCTCTCTCTCTCTCTCTCTCTCTCTCTCTCCAACAAACGAGAGGTTGGACGTCGAAGCCCGGCGATGGCAGATGGGGCGGACGCGTCCGCACGTGGGGAACGAGCAACGGCCACCGCGCAGCGTGAAACTGCCTTCGTTTTTTTTTGTTTTTTTTTTTCCGTCTTTCGTTTCACGATATCTTTCGTTCTTACAAATTTGGGATTTCCGTATATTGGCGCGGCGGGCAGGTACAAACGGCAGTGAACCTATATCCGCCAACTACTACTGGCCTTGTCCCACATGGACCCGCGAGGCCTTCAACGTTTCGGCCTGCTGAACCGGCCCTGAGGCCCTGGGGTCGCGGCGCGTATACGGGAAAGCCCTGCGGCCGATGTATGGGCCAAGTACTGGTGGTTTAAAACGAGGAAGCATACTTGCCCGAAAGGGCAAGTCTTCCTGATCAGGTAACCTAAACCTGCAGAGGTGTCAATATTTCTTGCAGCAGTGGAGTCCCTTTCCCTTGCCCACTCCTGCCGGCTATAATTTGTGTTGGCGGATGCTTTCCAATAACAGTCATCATTTTTTTTTTCCTTAAAAACTTTTGGGTCTTTTTTTTTTTTTTTTGAAAAGATCATTACTCAATCTATCTGCCTGGGCTTTTCAGTTTTTTTCAATATTTCTTCTGATCACAAAAAATTGTCAAAGTTGGCGCACGAAACATTTTGCAACGAGCCACTGACCACTCGTGGTCAACCCTACTCGCCACCCTCAAATCTTCAAGATTGAGCAGCCTAAAATATACCGCCTTTCCAACTTGAAAAGTTTGGGGGACTTTTTGGGCCTTCAGTCATAACGTAGGATTGGTCAACCTGCGTTGTGCAAAGGATATGAGGCATGGAGAGGAAAAACACGTAGCTCCTGAACTAAAAATACCCTCAAGTGTCGTCACAAAACCAATGCCCATTATCATTCATAAAATCTTGTTGTAATCTTTCAACCTGCTTTGGGCAAAAGGTAGGTGGCATGGAGGGGAGGGGCACAGAGCTCTGATGTTAGGAAGAGTATATCTAAAAGTCGGAAGGGGATTAGGGAAGAGGGAGGCGGTACATGGTAGTAGGGTTTGTTCGAGCACATGAAACATTCGTGAATGTATGGAATGCTCACAAGGTCAACTTCCACCAATGGACAGATTTGCCAAGTCACGATTGTACATTAGTGTTAAGTAAAATGATCAAGTCGGTGGTACAATGTGTCTTATGGGGCAGAGAACATCAAGAGGGAGGTTAGGCAAAGAGCACGAAAAAGAAGCCAACATCGTCGACAGTATTATTGTCAGGGTTGGGTTGACCATGGAACAACCCTCTTGGTCACCTTACCACTTGAGGGATGAGGAAGGTTGAGGGAGCATATCGTGCAACACTAAGTAAGCAAGCATCTGGAGGGCGGTAGGGATGAAGGTAACAAAGAATAATACATTGTGTCGCTGGTCGTGGGAAAGGGGGGAAGTGATTTGCCATGTCACCTCTTTTCAAGACAAACAAGAGGAAAATTAGGGACTCATGATGTGTAACATTGACGAGTAAGATTCGAATGAGAAATAAAAGGAGATTAAGAAGGAGAAGCCAACAAAGATGTTGGAGGGAAGCACAAAAACACTCAATGAGGAAGAGGTAAGGAAAAAAACAAAGGATATGAGAGTGTGAACACATAATATAGAAAGAGACTTAGGGAAAGATCATTCATCATACTTGTTATACATAGGAATCTCTTGAACAAAAGGCAACAGTGTACTTAGGTTGCATAGTGAAGAGCATCATAGTGGTCGAAAATTAGATCAACCATTTTCTTAGTTCTCATGTCGATCGAATGCATTTGGGTGTCAAGCAGTGAAATGTGAACTTATTCGACCCTTAGAGCACGTACTTATAATTACTTCTAGTTGCAAGTTAGTATATTAGCATATAACACTACATTGATATGCGAACTTAAGCATATGATAAAATAAATATTGTACGGAACAACTCATCCGTTATCATAATACATTATTTAATCATCGCACAACAAACAATTTTCGGATTTTGGGCTTTGTCATTTATAAAATGAAAAATGTTTCCGTTGTTAGAAAATGATGTTAGAATTGAATTGTTTTAAGCGGATATTCATTACAACAATTATTTTTTATACAACCTGTAGGATTTGCAGGCGCACAGAAAGCGTAGATCATAAACATGCTCACATTTTTTCTCAACTCTTTAGATTGCGGAATTTCGACATATATGATTTCGTT